TTATTTTGCATTTTGCATTTTCGCGACAACAATGGAGGAAAAAAAAAGTTATAATAAAGGTTAATGAAATCGAACAATGCTTTTGCGCTCAATTAAAATGTTTTTCTGTTTCATTTAGTTGACGGATTTGTTGTCATTAAACTAGCTTCAGTAGTGTCTAATTGTCTCTGCAGTATGACTATAGGACCGACCGAAATTCGGCTGAAAATTCGGTTAAAATTTGGTTACATTTCGGTTCAATCGAATTACGGTTGACCGAAATTCGGTTGGATTTCGGTCAACCGAAATCCAGCCGAATTTTAACAGAATTCCACCCGAAATTCAACTGAAATTTAACCGAATTCCATACGAATTTCGGTCAACCGTAATTCAGTTGAACCGAAATGTAACCGAATTTCAACCGAATTTCGGTCGGTCCTGTGAGACTCGCCCTGGGCTATGGACCCCTTCTTAGTGTCATTCTTATCTAAATCTGTCATAATTTGACCTAATAGCTCATTATCATTGACTCTACACACTCATAGCTACATAACAATAGAAAAATGCGCTCTAAACCCATTCAAGTGTCTTCCTTACTTCTCATTAAATTCCTCTATTCTGTTGACGATTATTCAAACAAATGAAACTAATTTCTTTTCTTTTTTTTATTCATTATTTTTTCATCATAAAAAAAATATTCTCGTTTGCTTCTTTCAATTCCACAATTTAATTTCACATTTTCTCATTCTTCTATTTCTCTGCTGTTGTTCTGTTTCTTCTTCCTGTGCTTGTTGATAATTATTTTAAGCTGAAGCTCATTCGTGATGCACACAATATTATTATTTGCATGTTCATAATTGATTTGCATAATTCTTTAACTTGTTTGTTGCATTTGAAATTGAAACTCATTTTGCTGATGAATTAAATGGAATTTTGCAGAGATCGAAGCCGATTTTTTCGGCTTAACTCAATTTTTGATTTTTTTGATAGAAAAAAGCCATTTGACACCCATTTCAAGTATTTAAATTGAACTTTACATGCTTTACTATGATTCTGTGTAATATTTTGTCAGCATGTAGCTATAGTAAGCTCAGAATTTCAAGTTAGCCGATTTTAAGCCGATCGGCTTAAATTTCGGCTTAAAATCGGCTAACTTGAAATTCTGAGCTTCCTATAGCTACATGCTGACAAAATATTACACAGAATCATAGTAAAGCATGTAAAGTTCAATTTAAATACTTAAAATGGGTGTTAAATAGCTTTTTTCTATCAAAAAAATCAAAAATTGAGTTAAGCCGAAAAAATCGGCTTCGATCTCTGGAATTTTGTTATGGTTATGATTAATGAATGAATTAAAATGATTTGGATGGTTAATTAGGTTAATGTTATGTGACTTGAACTCGAAGGTGGGGTTGTGGTTTGGACAAGCTGATAGATTTAAGTGTAAACTGGTAGATAAAGAATCTAATGAGTATTTAGATGGATAACTTTGAGTTATTAGATCAAATATAACATGGCATTGAGTTAAAAATCTATAGATGCCTTAGCTGTGCAATAGTCCTTAGTTTTGAACATAATTCAACCCGTTCATAAATTCAATTCAACCCTGAAACCTAATTAAGGCATTAGTCTAACCTATAAAATTTATTTCTAACCTCAATCTTAGTTTCAAGCCTACATCTAAGCTTTTTTCAACTCATAGCACTTCAATTAACTGCAATTTAACCTATTAGCCTACTTTTAACCCAAATCTAGCCAAAAAAACCTACATCTAACACTAATCTACTCCACAAACCCACGCTTAACCAGTATACAATCCACAAACCCACTCTTAACCCGAATCCAATCCATAAACCCACTCTTAACCCTAATCCAATCCACAAACCCACTCTTAACCCGAATTCAATCCACAAACCCACTCTTAACTCTAATCCAATACACAAACCCTAATCCTAACCTTAATCCAATCCACAAACCCACTCCTAACCCTTATTTATTCCACAAACTCACTCTTAACCCTAATCCAATTCACAAACCCTAATCCAATTCACAAACCCTAATCCAATCCACAAACCCACTCTTAACCCTAACTCTAATCCACAAACCTATTCTTAACCTTAATCCAATTCACAAACCAAATCTTATCCTAATATAATTCACAAACCCTTATCCAATCCACAAACCCACTCTTATCCTAATCCAATTCACAAACCCTAATCCAATCCACAAACCCACTCTTAACCCCAATCCAATTCACAAACCCTAATCCAATTCACAAACCCACTCCTAACCCCAATCCAATTCACAAACCCTAATCCAATTCACAAACCCACTCCTAACCCCAATCCAATTTACAAACCCTAATTCAATTCACAAACCCTAATCCAATCCACAAACCCACCCTTAACCCTAATCCATTCCACAAACCCTAATCCAATTCACAAACCCACTCCTAACCCCAATCCAATCCACAAACCCTAATCCAATTCACAAACCCACTCCTAACCGCAATCCAATTCACAAACCCTAATCCAATTCACAAACCCACTCCTAACCCCAATCCAATTTACAAATCCTAATCCAATTCACAAACCCTTATCCAATCCACAAACCCACCCTTAACCCTAATCCATTCCACAAACCCTAATCCAATTCACAAACCCACTCCTAACCCCAATCCAATCCACAAACCCTAATCCAATTCACAAACCCACTCCTAACCCCAATCCAATTCACAAACCCTAATCCAATTCACAAACCCCTAATCCAATCCACAAACCCACTCTTAACCCTAACCCTAATCCACAAACCCATTCTCAACCTTAATCCAATTCACAAACCCAATCTTATCCTAATCCAATTCACAAACCCTTATCCAATCCACAAACCCACTCTTAACCCTAATCCAATTCACAAACCCTTATCCAATCCACAAACCCACCCTTAACCCTAATCCATTCCACAAACCCTAATCCAATTCACAAACCCACTCCTAACCCCAATCCAATCCACAAACCCTAATCCAATTCACAAACCCACTCCTAACCCCAATCCAATTCACAAACCCTAATCCAATTCACAAACCCCTAATCCAATCCACAAACCCACTCTTAACCCTAACCCTAATCCACAAACCCATTCTTAACCTTAATCCAATTCACAAACCCAATCTTATCCTAATCCAATTCACAAACCCTTATCCAATCCACAAACCCACTCTTAACCCTAATCCAATTCACAAACCCTTATCCAATCCACAAACCCACTCTTAACCCTAATCCAATTCACAAACCCTTATCCAATCCTCAAACCCACTCCTAACCTTAATCCAATTCACAAACCTACTCTTAAACTTAATCCAATTCACAAACCCATTCTTAACCTTAATCCAATTCACAAACCCAATCTTATCCTAATCTAATTCACAAACCCTTATCCAATCCACAAACCCACTCTTAACCCCAATCCAATTCACAAACCCTAATCCAATTCACAAACCCACTCTTAACCCTAATCCAATTCACAAACCCACTCTTAACCCTAATCCAATCCACAAACCCACTCTTAACCCTAACCCTAATCCACAAACCCATTCTTAACCTTAATCCAATTCACAAACCCAATCTTATCCTAATCCAATTCACAAACCCTTATCCAATCCACAAACCCACTCCTAACCCCAATCCAATCCACAAACCCTAATCCAATTCACAAACCCACTCCTAACCCCAATCCAATTCACAAACCCTAATCCAATTCACAAACCCCTAATCCAATCCACAAACTCACTCTTAACCCTAACCCTAATCCACAAACCCATTCTTAACCTTAATCCAATTCACAAACCCAATCTTATCCTAATCCAATTCACAAACCCACTCTTAACCCTAATCCAATTCACAAACCCTAATCCAATTCACAAACCCTAATCCAATTCACAAACCCTAATCCAATTCACAAACCCTAATCCAATTCACAAACCCTAATCCTAACCCTAATCCAATTCACAAACCCTAATCCTAACCCTAATTCAATTCACAAACCCTAGTCCTAAACCTAATCCGATCCACAAACCCACTTTTAACACTAATCCATTCCACAAACCCTAATCCAATTCACAAACCCTAATCCAATCCACAAACTCACTCTTAACCCTAACCCTAATCCACAAACCCATTCTTAACCCTAATCCACTCCACAAACCCACTCTTAACCCTAATCCAATCCACCAACCCACTCTTAACCCTAATCCAATTCACAAACCCAATATTAACCTTAATCCAATCCACAAACCCACTCCTAACCCTAATCCAATCCACAAATCCACTCTTAACCCTAATCCAATTCACAAACCTTAATCCAATCCACAAACTCAATCCTAATCCTTATTCAACCCACAAACCCACTCTTAACCCTAATCCAATCCACAAACCCACTCCTAACCCTAATTTATTCCACAAACTCACTCTTAACCCTAATCCAATTCACAAACCCTAATCCACTCCACAAACCCACTCTTAACCCTAATCCAATCCACCAACCCACTCTTAACCCTAATCCAATCAACAAACCCACTCCTAACCCCAATCCAATTCACAAACCCTAATCCAATTCACAAACCCAAATCCAATGCACAAACCCACTCTTAACCCTAACCCTAATCTACAAACCCATTCTTAACCTTAATCCAATTCACAAACCCAATCTTATCCTAATCCAATTCACAAACCCTTATCCAATCCACAAACCCACTCTTAACCCCAATCCAATTCACAAACCTTAATCCAATCCACAAACCCACTCTTAACCCCAATCCAATTCACAAACCCTAATCCAATTCACAAACCCACTCTTAAACTTAATCCAATTCACAAACCAAATCTTATACATTGAGCCACACCCAATCCTCAAACATTCCACAACAATCCGCTCATCACAAAACTAAAAAGCCTAATCATTTACTGAAAAGAACCATTATCAAGTGCACTACCAACAAATAAAATAGTCACGAATTAATGATGCAACAAAAGACGAACGAAACGGAAGGTTCCTTATCAGCTGATTAATTAGCCACTTGGTGTAAAAAAACACAGTCAATTGATTAGATAAGAAATTGGAAGGTTTTAGAAGAGTTTAGCTCAATAACTGTTTTATTGAGAGTCGAATTTTGAGTTTTGGTGATTGTTGACTGGAAATTTTGTGTGATTTATTGTTGCTGAATATTTATTGGAAATTGAGGATTTTAGGAATTCTAGGAATTTGACAAAAATGGATCAGAATAAAGCTAGAGACATGCCAAAACCGGTGCCGTTTATCATATTTTATGCACTGTTTGAGAGATACAGCTCTATGGGTGTTGCAGGTATGATATTGACTGAGCCTTAACGAATAGCCTAAACCTAACCTTATTTATAATTTTTAGCAATCCTCGCAATCTTCCTGAACACAAAACTCGGCCTCAGTGAACATGCATCGACAGCAATTTATCACTATTTCTATTTTGCTTCTTATTTTTTTGGCATAATCGGAGCGATAATCGCAGACAATTGGCTTGGTCGATTTAGGACTTTGTTCTTTGGAATGTCAATACTTGGTGGACTTGGGAACTTGTTGCTTGCTGTTGGAACGATTGCTTATTTAAGCTATTTGATTAAGTGAGTGTTGCTTTGGAGTTGAGTCTCGGGTAGGAAAGGGTTGGTATACAGGGCTAGGCATTAGTAGCTAATCTTAAAGGGCTAGCTGCTTCCTAAGTAGCAGCAAACACTGCTGATTACATATTAACTAAGGTTAGATCAGCAATGCTTCCTCCACGTAGTTTAGAGGATTACCTTACCAGAGACTCACTCCTAAGCCTACCCTAGACACGAACCTATCCCAAGACTCGAACCTTCCAAAAATCAAAACCTTAAAAACATCAAATTTATTAATTACAGCTCATTCACAACAGTCGCCCTCCTTCTCATCAGTTTCGGTATCGGATGTCTCGAACCAAACCTTCCAGCCTATAGTGGAGATCAATACCGTCTACCACTTGAAGAACGAGGCTTTGCTCTGTGCATTGGACTTCTGTTCATCATGCAGAATGCAGCTCGAGTTGTTGCCATGATTGTCGGACCTGTTTTGAGATCAAGAACGAAATGCTTTGGTGCTGATGACTGTTATCCTTTAATCTTTGGAATATTTGTTGCTGCAAAGTTCTTTGCTATCATGTTGCTTACTTTTGGGAGGAAATATGCAGTTGTGGTCACGCCTAGTGGAAATATGTTTACGAAAGTCTTAGGATGTGTTTGGGTATGCGTGAAAAATTACCAAAAAAATAATAATTTAAATTAATTTTATTGAAATTTTCTAGTTCGGCTTAAAAGGTAAATTCAGCTCAACTGACAACAGAAGCTACAACCACTGGCTTGATAGATCCGAGAAAAAATATGGCAAACGCATTGTTGCAGATACCAAGCGAGTTCTCCACGTCTTAGCTCTCCTTCCTCCACTAGTCATTACAGCATCACTTTACTTCCAACAAGCTTCACGTTGGGTCTTTCAGTCACGTCAAATGGACGGTCAAATTGGAAGCTTCAACATAAAACCTGATCAGGTTCCATTAGTTAATGCACTGTCTGTTGTAGTCTTTGTGCCACTTTGTGAATATGTCTTTAATCCATTGCTCAGCAAAATTGGAATCAAAACTAATCTTCATCGAGTCATTCTTGGTGGCTTCCTGTCAGCCACAGCATTCTTAATTGCTGCTCTTGTGCAGTTCCAAGTTGATCAGAGACAATTGCATATGGTTTGGCAGATCCCACAGCACATGGTGCTTGCATTAGGAGAAGTACTCGTTTATGTTCAGATCTTACAGTTTGCATACACACAAGCACCAAAGGAGATGAAGTCAGTGCTGCAAGCATTCTTTTCAATGATCATCGGAGGTGGAAACTTGATCGTTGCCCTTATCGCATCAACAAGGCTGTTTGAATCAATGGCTTATGAGTATCTGATGTTTGCAGGCATTGTGTACATTGCTATGATAATATTTGCTGTACTAGCTGCAAGATATGAGTATGTTGATGTCGAGGAACTAGAAAAATTGGACAAAATGGCAGAATATGATGGATTTGAAGCTGTTGATGAGTCGTCAGCATTGAATAATCCACAGAAAGTAAAGAAAGTTGAGAATGTTATGAAATCTTATGAGATGAGAGCAATTCATTGAGGATTTAGAGGTTAGGTTTAAGGAACCTGTAAAATAGAATTTTATAAGTTGAAATAAAAATTGATTTTATTTGAATTATTATTAATTTTTTTTTGGTAAAACATTCGAATTTGGTTTTCTTAATAATGTCTTCAGATTAAGGCTTACCTTTTTGGATCTGTAGATACTTATTTGCATCAGTATCTACTTTTTTGGGTCAGCACTTACATTTCAGGAACCATTTCGACAGTTCAGGAACCATTTGGAAGGTTAAGGAACCATTTCGACAGTTCAGGAACCATTTCGACAGTTCAGGAACCATTTTGAAAGTTTAGGAACCATTTTGACAGTTCAAGAACCATTTTGAAGGTTAAGGAACCATTTCGACAGTTCAGGAACCATTTTGACAGTTCAGGAACCATTTTGAAGGTTTAGGAACTATTTTTACAGTTCAGGAACCATTTCGACAATTCAGGAACCACTTCGACAGTTCAGGAACCATTTTGAAGGTTTAGGAACCATTTCGACAGTTCAGGAACCATTTTGACAGTTCAGGAACCATTTTGAAGGTTTAGGAACTATTTTTACAGTTCAGGAACCATTTCGACAATTCAGGAACCACTTTGACAGTTCAGGAACCATTTTGAAGGTTTAGGAACCATTTTGACAGTTCAAGAACCATTTTGAAGGTTAAGGAACCATTTCGACAGTTCAGGAACCATTTTGACAGTTCAGGAACCATTTTGACAGTTCAGGAACCATTTTGAAGGTTTAGGAACTATTTTTACAGTTCAGGAACCATTTCGACAATTCAGGAACCACTTCGACAGTTCAGGAACCATTTTGAAGGTTTAGGAACCATTTCGACAGTTCAGGAACCATTTTGACAGTTCAGGAACCATTTTGAAGGTTTAGGAACTATTTTTACAGTTCAGGAACCATTTCGACAATTCAGGAACCACTTTGACAGTTCAGGAACCATTTTGAAGGTTTAGGAACCATTTTGACAGTTCAGAAACCATTTTGAAGGTTTAGGAACCATTTTTACGGTTCAGGAAGCATTTTGATGGTTCAGGGACTATTTTGAGAGTTCAGGATCCACTTCGATGGTTCAGGAACCACTTCGACAGTTCAAGAACCACTTCGATAACTTGCGAACCACTTAGGTAGTTCGAAAACAACTTTGACGGTTCAGGAATCAACTCTCGAGATCAAGACTTATCTCTTCAGGTCAAATTATACTTCTTTTAAGCATAACCGAACCAAAATAAGCTGACGTCCCTATAGTATTCCCAAAAACATCAAAAGCAAGTCAACCTTTCCCAAAAATTCTTCAAAAACATATCAAACCAATAAATCAGATGCCTCATCATCACCTTGACACCAATTTCTACTCCATTCATCACGTTTAAGCTCTCAAATCAATAAATATGTGTCAAAAAAATTCCCTCATTAATTATCCATCATAAACTTTGGTTCTGATAATTTTTAATTGATGACAGTAAGACTAAGACACTCGTCACACCCACGTCAAATATTACTAGTTGTAAATTACAAATGACATTATCATAGAAGTACTGATATTCAGCCGGAAATTCATTAATTGTTGCCTCAAAGCTAAAAGTTCAGTAATCTACAGCTGCTTTTCTATTTTATACTTTAATTATCATCTTCTGATTTATTGAATTGATTTTTATCGTGAAAATTTTGTGATGAGTTATTTGGGATTTTTGACTTCTATTTGGTGGAATATTCATAAATTGATAGTCAATTGATAAGATTATGATATGTTGTTATGTGATAGCGGTTGATTCTTTATGTTTTGGTGATTTGGAATCGGAAAGTCATTAGAAAAAATATTGTGGGAGGCTTTTGCTGATGCCGATGGACGCAGTGGTGGCATTTGGCTAGTGTTGGATTAGTGATTAGAGAAAATATCCTTTTCTAACCTCAAATGTGCTTTATCTGCAAATATTAAGCAATATTTTCATACAATCTTGCCTACAGGAACCTAAATAGCTCAACTTACATCTCCACTACAAGATCTAGACTTCATCAATCTCTAATCACAACTAGCATCACCAAAAAACTTGTTTATGACTCCAAACTCAAGTACTCAGAGGCTTGTTTACTACAATTAAGGCTACTTGATGTTCACAGAAATCGACGGCCTTAATTGAAAATTAATTAATGACACTTGAAGCATTAGACCTGGCAATAAATCATATTGAGAGGTTCGCAATTGAAATAACAAGAAATTTCTAGGTATGACAATCAATTAAGCTTAGTTCTGTGACAAAAATTGAGTTGCACTTTCGATATGGTTATTGTGGGGAATTTGCGTAGTTGCTGGAGCTGTCTGGTATTTTTGCATGCTTGAGGGGCGATTTTTCTAGTATTTTTGCATGCCTGACGGGCAATTATTCTAGTATTTTCGCATGCTTGACGAGCAACTTTTCTAGTATTTTTGCATGCTTGACGGGCGATTTTTCTAGTATTTTTGCATGCTTGACGGGCGATTTTTCCAGTATTTTTGCATGCTTGACTGGCAATTTTTCTAGTATTTTTGCATGCTTGACGAGCAACTTTTCTAGTATTTTCGCATGCTTGACGAGTAATTTTTCTAGTATTTTTGCATGCTTGACGGGCGATTTTTCTAGTATTTTTGCATGCTTGACGAGTAATTTTTCTAGTATTTTTGCATGCTTGACGGGCGAGTTTTCTAGTATTTTTGCATGCTTGACGGGCGATTTTTCTAGTATTTTTGCATGCTTGACGGGCAAGTTTTCTAGTATTTTTGCATGCTTGACGAGTAATTTTTCTAGTATTTTTGCATGATTGACGAGTAATATTTCTAGTATTTTTGCATGCTTGACGGGCAAGTTTTCTAGTATTTTTGAATACTTGACAAGCGACTGCTCTAGTTTTGTTCAAATTAAGCTCCAATCAGCCCAAAATGATTCAGAAAATGCCAAACGATGACAAATGTTTCCGAAAATTCTTTACAATGCATGACCAGACACAAATAAAAATGTTAGTTCAGATGTTGTTCACAATCAGCTAACCCATACATAAGAATCAGTTTTAAAGTTTACATCATATCCATATCCACAAAGACACCAACTTTATTCTAACCTTAATCATTTCGTCCACAACAATTGATCAATTAAGTGATACTAAGTGCAATAAATCCATAAACTGTTGAGTCTTTATTGATGATTTTTTAATGAACAACGACAAAAACACGGGCAAAATTGATAATGAGCATACAAAGAGAGCAAAAAAGTGTTCTTCAATAAATTGTTATTATATATGGCACTAAAGGAGACATAAAGAGAACTCTTTTTTTGGTGCTCAAATCATTTTTAATCGTCGATGTGTCGTGACAAGGTTTTTTAACTGCTGTGGATGATAAAAATTATTATTTTTTGTGATCAATTTTTGGAATTTAAAGTTTGAATAAATGCTAAAATATGTAAACATTCAAAAAATTTGTGCCAAAAAGTGACCTTCAAGAAAAGTATCAAAGAATCGCATTAAGAACAAGTTGCAAGGTTATATAAATAACATCCGAAGGAACACACATAAACAAAAGTGTTAAAAAAGAGGACCTGCCTCAAAATTATTTAGAAACATTCATAAAATAAAATAAATCAGTTATACAATGACGGAAGGTCCAGTGGCTGAAAAGGCTAGACAATTTCCGAAATCAGTGCCATTTATTCTAGTATATGCATTATGTGAGCGGTACAGTTCGATGGGTGTTGCAGGTTGGTGACTTTACTATTAATTTATTACTAAGAGACATTTAGAAGTCAACAATGAGGTGTTGTGGGATCATAGACTAGCTTTTCGGACTACATTAGGTAGCCTGGCCTTAGAAATTGACAAGTTGCTTACAATTTCTTAAGATCAGTCCTACTTTCAGTAACTAGGGCAGTGTTGTCCAAACCTTTTGGGCTACAGAACACTTTGATGGTTGACCACGACCACACAGGTGTGCCGCGGCAAACAGTTTAAACAACACTGATCTAGAGGACCTCAAATGTTCCTTAATCTCTAGGACATGCTCTTTATTACTGATAATCTGGCTGTTCGGCTGTCTGTGTGATAGTCTGGCTGTTCAAGAATAGACCAAGTAACTGACCTTAAGAATGGTCAAGAGTTTCATATCTCAATACCAAACAGTCATAATAGACCTAAGCCAGCTCAGAGCACACTCATATCCTTCAAAAGAACTAACAGAACTCTCAATATATCTTTCTCAATTCCAGCCATCCTAGCAATCTTCTTAAACACAAAACTAGGCCTCAGCGAAGGCACATCAACAGCAATCTATCATTATTTCTACTTTGCGTCATACTTTTTCGCCATTATCGGTGCAATAGTAGCTGATAATTGGTTCGGAAGATTCAAAACTCTTCTAGTCGGCATGTCAATCTTAGGAGGAATCGGAAACTTCTTACTGGCAATCGGAACTGTGGAATATTGGGACTATTTGATGGGGTAAGTGCTTAAGTACTTGAAATCTATTTAATCGGTCTCCAATCTGTGCTTAATGACGATTTAACTACAAAAAATGATATCCAATTGTGTCAATATTGTTATCAGTGATTTGATATGTTTAACTATTTATTGAAGATAAACCGACGAGTGACTAAATTGCTGGATGTAATTTAACTTTTTTTTTGGTGTTTTATTGTTCAATAATGTTGAGACAATCAGCTGTGAGACTCATTAGAACTTCACAGGTCCGTGACAATTAATTTTTAATGAGTTCAGTCTTAGGAAGGGGTCTGGGTGACTAAAGGGGAGGGGCCAACTACGTATTAAACCGTGGATCAGCTTGAACCCTTTCGTAACTATATTCAAGTCTGTGCTGCATAATAATTAATTCTAGAGCTCAATTTAAGTTGACAAGAAAGAGACTTGATAGTCAAAATGTGTATGCTTATTAATTAAATTTACGCAGTATCATTTGAATGACTTTTGTTAAATAGTTTCAAGGTTGCCGCTGTACAGTAACTCACGTGCACAAATGTGATTTTTGTAACAATAGTAAACTATTATCTCTGATTTGATGTCAAATTTGTTGGTTTTTTGGAGACCTTGTGGATATTCAATAAATTTTTTAAAAAAATCTCAAAATCAGGGGGATAACAATATGATGGGGAATGACAAAATACTTCACATAATGCCTTGCAGTATCCTCAATACTATTAGTCCATTCTCTTTCAACAGCTGGATGCCTAATTATGGAAAAATCAGAAGAAAAAACAAAAAAAACCCTTTCCCATCATGTTGTTATCCCCCTCGCAAACAATTTTCTTCAAAACCACTCAAAACCAATTAGCGATTTCCTTTCAACAAAAAAAAATCTCAAAATATCCATCGAAGTACCCCAAAAATAAAACATTTTTTTTGAGGTGCAATATCAAGGCCACAAAGTCATAAATTTTGATGAATGACAATATAGAGATAAAATTTATGAAGGCAATCTTAATAAAATCATAGCTGCAATAAAAGTTTTGCGATAATCTGAAAATAATGAGGTCTGATAAGTGTGACTAGTGACGTTAAGTGCAGTAGCTTTTGATATTTGGATGTATTTTATTGGAGCTCGTTTTTGTTGATTTTTGGAAAATTCTTCAAGGTTGAGTGGTGCAGCTGGTGCAGAGCATGTAGAGTTTGAGATTTTAGAAGGCTATCTGGTGTCTTTGTTTGACTTATCTGATATCCAACTTAGCTTGCCATTTTTAAGCAGGTCGTAGCTCCTTCTTGACTCTCCTTTCCTTTGACGGGCAATTTTCTAGTATTTTTGCATGCTTGACGGGCAATTTTCTAGTATTTTTGCATGCATGACGGGCAATTTTTCTAGTATTTTTGCATGCTTGACGGGCGATTTTTCTAGTATTTTTGCATGCTTGACGGGCAATTTTCTAGTATTTTTGCATGCTTGACGGGCAATTTTCTAGTATTTTTGCATACTTGACGGGCAATTTTCTAGTATTTTTGCATGCATGACGGGCAATTTTTCTAGTATTTTTGCATGCTTGACGGGCGATTTTTCTAGTATTTTTGCATGCTTGACGGGCAATTTTCTAGTGTTTTTGCATGCTTGACGGGCAATTTTTCTAGTATTTTTGCATGCTTGACGAGCAACTTTTCTAATATTTTTGCAAGCTTTACGGGCGATTTTTCTAGTATTTTTGCATGGTTGACGGATAATTTTTTCTAGTATTTTTTCATGCTTGACGGGTAATTTTTCTAGTATTTTTGCATGCTTGACGGGCAATTTTTCAGTATTTTTGCATGCTTGACGGGCAATTTTTCTAGTATTTTGGCATGCTTGACGGGCAATTTTCTAGTATTTTGCATGCTTGACGGGCAGTTTTCTATTATTTTTGCGTGCTTGACGGGCGATTTTCTATTATTTTTGCATGCTTGACGGGCAATTTTTCTAGTATTTTGGCATGCTTGACGGGCAATTTTCTAGTATTTTGCATGCTTGACGGGCAGTTTTCTATTATTTTTGCGTGCTTGACGGGCGATTTTCTATTATTTTTGCATGCTTGGCGGGCAATTTTTTCTAGTATTTTTGTATGCTTGACGGGAAATTTTCTAGTATTTTTGCATGCTTGGCGGGAAACTGCTCTAGTGATGCCTCTTTTTATCATTATTCTTGAGACAAACTATCAACTTAACTCATTCCTATAAATAAAAATACTCAAATTGCCATGCAATTTTGTGTCGCGACAATGCTTACATTTTTATGTGATAATAGCCGATCTCATAAATTAATTTTGACAGAAAAAAGAAAAAATATTGAAGCTTTATTATCTGCAGGTGATAATTTTCCTCTTTGTTGCTAACATTTGTGGTCTTATCAATTGGTGATTTCATAGCCTTATGCATATTAACTACCTAATGAAAACCTCCATACTAATCATAAATCCCTAATTCCAGCGCCTTCACAGCACTCGGTCTCATCTTCATCAGCGTCGGTGTCGGATGTCTCGAACCAAACCTCCCAGCCTACAGCGGTGATCAATACAGAATTCCATTAGAAGAAAAAGGCTTTGCTCTTTGCATTGGACTTCTTTTCATTATGCAAAATGCAGCTCGAGTTATTGCCATGCTTGTTGGACCTGTTTTGAGATCAAATACAAAATGCTTTGGGGCTGTTGATTGTTATCCTTTGATCTTTGGAATCTTTGTTGGAGCTAAAGTCATTGCAATATCGAGTCTTGTTATTGGAAAGAAATTCGCTGTTGTAAGGCTGCCCGAAGGAAATATGTTTGTGAAAGTTTGTGGAACTATCTGGGTGAGTTTTTGGTTTGATTTTTTTGTCGACCAGAATTCTGGCAGATATTTTTTGTCGACCAGATTTTTGACGGATTTTTTTAATGACCAGAATTCTAGCAGAATTTTCAATAAGTCGAAATTTGAATAAATTTTTTGTCCACCAGAATTCTAGCGGATAATTGTATTCAACAGAATTGCGGTTGGAAATTTTGTCGACCAGAATCTTAGCGGAATTTTTTTCCGACCAGATTTTTGACAGATTTTTTTTGTCGACCAGAATTTCAGCAGAATTTTTAATAAGTCTAGATTTCTTCAGAATTTTGGTTAACCGGAATTCTAGCGGATAATTTTTGTCCACCAGAATCCTAGCGGATAATTTTTGTCCGCCAAAATTCTGACCGATTCCAAAACAACCCTAATTTATTTCAAAATCTCTAATTCCAGCTCGGCTTCAAAACAAAATTTTTCATCCGTCCAAAAGCAAAACGTGATCACTGGCTCGAATATGCTGAAGACAAGTACGGACCATCAATAGTCGCAGACACAAAGCGTATCCTCTACATTCTCACCCTCCTCCCACCTCTAGTCATCACAGCAACTCTTTACTTCCAACAAGCATCACGTTGGGTCTTTCAGTCACGTCAAATGAATGGTCAAGTTGGAAATTATACAATTAAGCCTGACCAGATGCCACTTGTTAATGCTATATCCACAGCTATTTTTGTGCCATTCTGTGAATATGCATTGAATCCACTAATAGCTAAAGTTGGAATCAAAACAAATCTTCAACGAGTTGTTCTTGGTGGATTTCTGTCAGGAACTGCCTTTGTCATTGCTGCACTCTTGCAGTTCCAAGTTGATAGACAAGATCTTCATATGGTTTGGCAAGTCCCACAACACATGGTGCTAGCATTAGGAGAAGTACTCGTTTATGTCCAATTCCTTCAATTCGCATACACACAAGCACCAAGACAAATGAAGTCAGTGCTTCAAGCATTCTTCTCAATGGTCATTGGCGGTGGAAATTTGATTGTCGCACTGATTGCATCAACTGAAATTTTTGAATCTATGGCTTATGAATACCTAATGTTTGCAGGCATTGTGTATATTGCGATGATCGCATTTACAATTCTAGCTGCTAGATATAAATATGTTGTTGTTGAGACAGATGACAAGAAAAATGATGAGATTGTTAAGAGTAATGATTTGAACGGTGGTTTTGAGGATGAGGATAAGGTTAAGGAGAAATATGATACTAGGCTGTAGGGTTGGGGGTTTTTTGGGGGGGGGGGATATTTAAAAAGCTTTAACTTTATAGATTGGAGTGATTAGATGTGGACTTTTGGGGTCTTCTGTGGGTCGATTGCTTGGTTTACATCGGAAACTACTTTAATCCAACCAAGTGCATGCACTTGGCTAAGTATTAGTTCAGGTCAGAGGCGTAGCCAGGAATTTGAAGAGGGGGGGGGGGTCCAAAAAAAGTAAATATGGAAAATTCAGAGGGATGATTTTTTTCATAAAACTCTTAGCAAAATAAAGAAATTTGTCCCCCAAATCCCCCTCCCCCCCTGGTTATGCGCCTGGACCAGATGTATACCAATATACCGACCCAAACTTTATAATATTATGAATGACAATAAAACTTTGAATGTAAAATTTTTAGTATTTAAGTGAGTTTAATAAAATTGACACAAAAAATATCAAAATTTTTTTTTCTGAAAATTCTGACACATCAAGCACTCAAGGACTAACTGGCAGCAACTTATCATCAATCCTGACATATCAAGCAATCAGTGGTTAGCTGGGTGTCCCTACTAAACCATAATCTCCATTAAGTGATTATTTTTGACGTCTGTACTTCAATATTCAAGCAACTTACACTTCAAATTTAGCTCTCAAGTATCCTCAAACACTTTTTGGTAATTTTTAATTAATCATCTAATTAGCAAAGTGGCTCTTACGATAAATTCCAAGACCATGATGTAGATTATTAAGTTTCTGAAAATCACACTCAGCCGCCGACTTTGTAATGAGGAATTGCGATAAGCTTAATCATGTGATCTCAACTCTTTATGGAGTATCAAGTCGAGAGGTTGATGATAAAAATAATTTTTGGTGTATTGTTGGCAAGGGGATAACTACGTGATGGGAAAACGATTTTGATGGGCATTTCTGACATTTTTCTGGCATAGTTTGGAATTTCTTACTGATTTTTCATCAATTTTTCAATTTTTTCAAGCATTTTTTTGGAGATTTGTTATGAAACTATTTCCTATCATGTTGTTACCCCCTTGATTATCGAGATTTAATTCAATTTTAAACGAAATTTATCTTGAGAAGTACATTTAAAGCAGCAAATGAGGTGAGTATAACCATCAAAACCTAACAAATCACACCACTGAACCCCCCTAAACCTCCACATAACCCCAATATTCAGTCAGTTCCAAATCAACAAAACCCACAGCACCATAACAAACATCAATCTACATATTTTTCTGTTCCACATTCGATCACAACTGTTTGTTCATTTTTTTTCCCGTCAATTTGTCAAAACAAGAGAAAGAAAAGTAAGTAAAATGTCACAAAGCAATTATCGTTCATCGCCAATTTGCTTATCTAATTGCCCATTGTCATCGCACACAATTCGCTTAATCATCTTCAGTCTCTTTTTTATTTTCACGCAATAATTGCTTCGTTGCTACTTTTTTTTCATGCTGTTACGTAAATGCTTTAATAAATTTGCAAATTACGGCTTGTTTTATTTCGTGATTATCATGTGAGCTAATGGGCGAGGAATGGCAAGCATTGGAACTCTCATAAATGTAATTAGTTGAGGTAAAATGTTTGCCATTGCATGTGAATTCAAATGACAATTTTACGCAATGATGGAGCTGATTGGATGGATAGGCTTGTGAATTGTGGATGCAAAGTTGAGCATTTTGAGTCGATAAAGCTTGTAATTCATACTAAACAGTTAATCTACCCTCCTTAATGCAATCAATCTTCAAAAATCACTGGTTCAGCAATTCAGACTTCCTGTCGACCTAATTTCTTCATCCTTAGTCCTTACTCCAGCTCCAGGAAGTTCATTGTTTGTAAAACAGAACAGAAAAGTTGCTAATTTCATGCCTGAAATCCTCAAAGAATTATTTCGTACCTGATAAGGGTAATAAAGTAGTTTCTTTAAAAAAATTATCAAGATTGTAATAAATTTTCACTCTCTTCTGGCTTTTCTTACATCTTCGTTAATGTTCACTGTGGATGAAAGTAAAGGAACCTCACCTCAATTACTTATTCTGTTATCAGACAGTTTTAGGTGTCTGGTGTTTGGCAAATTGGATTTGTTGTGAATTAAAAGTTTGGATTTGAATCGAGTTTTGTGAAGACTGAGAATTTAAAATATAGAACTGAGAATCAAGAATCAAGTACCAAGAACCGAGAACCAAGAACCAAGAACCAAGAAATAAAAACCAAGAACCATGAGCCAAGAACCAAGAACCAAGAACCAAGAACCAAGAACCAAGAACCAAGAACCAAGAACACCAAGAACCAAGAACCAAGGACCAAGAACCAAGAACCAAGAACCAAGAACCAAGAACCAAGAACCAAGAACACCAAGAACCAAGGACCAAGAACCAAGAACCAAGAACCAAGAACCAAGAACCAAGAACCAAGAACCAAGGACCAAGAACCAAGAACCAAGAACTAAGAACCAAGAACCAAGAACCAAGAACCAAGAACCAAGAACACCAAGAACCAAGAACCAAGGACCAAGAACCAAGAACCAAGAACTAAGAACCAAGAACCAAGAACCAAGAACCAAGAACCAAGAACCAAGAACCAAAAAACCAAGAACCAAGAACCAAGAACCAAGAACCAAAAACCAAGAACCAAGAACCAAGAACTAAGAACCAAGAACCAAGAACCAAGAACCAAGAACCAAGAACCAAGAACCAAGAACCAAGAACACCAAGAACCAAGGACCAAGAACCAAGAACCAAAAACCAAGAACCAAGAACCAAAAACCAAGAACCAAGAACCAAGAACCAAGAACCAAGAACCAAGAACCAAAAACCAAGAACCAAGAACCAAAAACCAAGAACCAAGAACCAAGAACCAAGAAAACCAAGAACCAAGAACCAAAAAACCAAGAACCAAGAACCAAGAACCAAGAACCAAGAACCAAGAACCAAGAACCAAGAACCAAGAACCAAGAACCAAGAACCAAGAACCAAGAACCAAGAACCAAGAACCAAGAACCAAGAACCAAGAACCAAAAACCAAGAACCAAGAACCAAGAACCAAGAACTAAGAACCAAGAACCAAGAACCAAGAACCAAAAAACCAAGAACCAAGAACCAAGAACCAAGAACCAAGAACCAAGAACCAAGAACCAAGAACCAAGAACCAAAAACCAAGAACCAAGAACCAAAAACCAAGAACCAAGAACCAAGAACCAAGAAAACCAAGAACCAAGAACCAAAAAACCAAGAACCAAGAACCAAGAACCAAGAACCAAGAACCAAGAACCAAGAACCAAGAACCAAGAACCAAAAACCAAGAACCAAGAACCAAGAACCAAGAACCAAGAACTAAGAACCAAGAACCAAGAACCAAAAATCAGAAGCCAATTTTTTTTCAATTTCCAACTTAAATTTTTTGACAATTCTTCAAACAATTTTCACAGCAATTATCGTCAATCAATAGCCAAAAAAATCATCAATGATACTTGAAAATGCAGCGTAAGTGTCCATTATTTTCACACACAATTGACTTCTTCATTCATCGCCCTTCCCGAAAAAAGAAATCACCGAGAATGTGTGGAATTTTTTCTTTTCAGACAAGACAATGAGAATGACTTATGGTGGATGATTCGATGCTGTGGTCGTCATGGCTAGGGTAAAATTGACCACATCTTCCCCCTTCCTGCATCAAAAATTGGACAACATTAGCGAATAAGCTTTAATCCACTCCACATAGTCCATCAACCGACCATAACCATCGCTACAATCATCATAATCATTCAATGATAATAAAATCCGTCCATAAATTTCCTCACATTCACAAAATCGCTTCCGAATTTTTCCCTACCCAACATTTTTTATTTTTTTTTTTCTTAAAAAAGGTGATTCCATCGCACGTGTAAGTGTATGTTTACACGAGGGGATTAAAGTACACTTTTACTTTTACTTTCCACTGCTGCTTCTCATCGGACATTTACTTACTTGCTTGCTGATGCGAGAGGGATTAAAGCACGTTCAATATAAAAAAGTGGATGAGGAATTGAATTTTAAGGAAGGAAGAATTTTTTTGTTGATCTGTTGATCCGATGTGTGTGGTTGACTTTTTTTCTCGTCTGATGGACGATTATCGGATACTTTTGAAGAGTTTTGTGGTGGATTTGGTTGGTGGGTGGCGAGTTTTGGAATTTTTTAAGTGTGCTGCATCTGAATTTTTGTCAAATTGATCCAAAGAGCTGCTGTTGTTCCATTTATTTGGGTTCAATTAAGTAAGAAGCGTTTTTAGGGTGTTTTGATTTCTGATCTTGTGTGAGGCACTCATTGAACTCAATTGGATCTTTTTGGACTAGCTTGTGAATCGCTTTGACTCCTTTTTGATCAACTTGGGATCTTATGGCTCATTTAAACCATTTTTCAGCCTGCTAAAACCTTTTTGGAATCTTTTGGCATTTACATTAGCTCCTATGACCTTCCTGAACTCTTGTGGATGCATATGCTGCTCATTTGCATCAACTTTGACATCTTTTGATTTCCTTGAAGCTTTTTGGACTAACTTGAAACCACTTCTTACTCTCCTAAGCTTATGTTGACCTAATTGGACCCTCTGGAGCAGGCTCTGGAGCTACTTGAACCCATTTATTTCTATTTTGAGTTTTATAACAGCTTTTTTGACCAATTAGGTGACTCTGTGGACACATTTGGAGCCTCAAAGCATATGCTATAGCTAGAATTAGGGGCATAGCCAGGAATTTGAAGAGGGGGGGGGGGGCAAAAGTTTTTTGTAGTTTTGGAGGGGGGGGGGGGGGGATTTTTTCTAGTTTTTCATAAAAACCCTAGCAAAATAAAGAAATTTCTATTTACGTTGGGGGATTTGTCCCCCGAATCTCCCCCCAAATCCCCCCCTGGCTATGCGCCTTGCTAGAATAGATATTAGTCAACCCGTTGTTTGCTATGTCCTTCCTTTGATCGATAGTTCCTATCAGTTAGCATGCAATTCCAATTTTTCCACAAATCTACATCTACAAATTCAATAAAATTCACAGATTCCAGCATCAACACAGCAACTGCAACCCCATCAACATCCCTCATTCTCATCCAATTCCATACTAAGTGCACGATTGAACACCTAATAGCCTATAAGACAATTGCAATCATCCAAACAAACAGGAAAAAAATTGTCCATAAAAAATCATCACAAAGACATTTTTCCTTCCTGTGCAATTTTTCCACCTTTTTTCACGTCCACAGCAGCAACAAAATCGAAAGGACGACAAAAAATAAAGATGAAAAATTTCCTCACGTCCTCAATGACGCAATGGACTCTCGACAAATGACGACTTTAAGGCCATTGAAAGGCAACATTTGCTCCCGAAGGCCATAAAAAAAATCGATTTTTTTCAACGAATTTTTTTTTATATATTTTCTGTGTGCTCATCTTGAAGGAAGTGAGGAGGCAGCAACAACAACAAACAAGTCCGAGAGAAGAAAAAATTTTTTTCACAGTTTGACGCTCGGTCGCAATTGTCCGGAATTGAATGTGTATACTTTTTTTTTTGTGTGTCGATGGCAGCATAAAGATTCTTTATTTTTTATTTGTGAACGAGAAAGTGAATGGACAGATTGAGAGTGAGGGAGGAGGACAAGTCAAGAAATCGATTTTTTTTTGTGTGTTGCTTCCTTTTTTTTATGAGACGAAGTCGACTTTATTTTGCCATGAATTTTTTATGGACTTAAAGTTTCACCTTAAAGACTTTTTTTTGGCTATTTTTAAAGTGGATTTTTGAGATTTTCGGGGTGTTCTGTGGATTGAAATTGGATGGGGTGGTTTAAAGTTGTGGATGAATATTTGTAAGATGAAACATCATTGCCGCTAGAGTCTTGTTGTGGTTATTTTTGGATAAAGATAAGATGTTATGTGGTTATGGATGTAGACTGGATTTAAAGATGCTTTAAAGTGATTTTTGGGAGACTTTTTTTGTTCATCTTTTTGGAAATTGATGTAAATATCTGATTTTAAAGATGAAGAGCTATATCTGGTGTCCTAATGTATGTCATAGTCATGCTCCTGTGTGCATACATTTTTAAAAACTAGTCCACATCCACAAATCCAACTCGTGAAGCTTCTAAACTTAACCCTTCGTCTAATCAGCTCATTCCTGACATCTTACTCATAATTACATCAAATCATCAGCATCAATGAGCCCTTGATCTCAAAATATTGCCAAAATTTATCATTCATCCTCGAAACTACCTCAAACTTACCCCTCACATCCAACATCAATAATCTATGACCCAGAGTTTCTCAAACTTTTTCGGTCCACGGCACATTATTTTTGCATAAAAAAATATGCAGCACACCTGGTATTTTTTCGCAGCATACTAGTGTGCCGTGGCACATAGTTTGAGAACCACTGCTCCATCCAAAGAAATCATCCAAATTCCCAATATTCATCCTAGAACTGTAAATAATTTAATTATGAACCACAAAATAAATAAGGAAGTTGATGGAAATTTTATTACAGCAAATGCGATACATGTGCATGTATAGAAATTATCCTTATTTGTAATCTTCTTGTTGATGCCCTCGTGTGGATTGCTTTAATGAATTTATTTATGAGCTACATTGATTGCATGAATATGGGATGATTAGTGAATATTTTTGTGTTTTTATTATTTTTTTTGCAGGGTTGATGAGATTTTGGATCGGGGTGGGAGGTGTGTTTGGTTGGCTGGCTGGCTATTGGAATTCAATTTCAATTCAATTAAAAATCAACAATCAAAACTAGAAAACCAAGAACTAAGAACATGTCAATACTACCCCCAACCCCCCCCCCCCCCCCATCCCATCCAGCTCACATCACAAAACAGCAATAAATTAAAAAAAAAATCGAAAGACGATACACAAACATTCAAAAAATTTACTTCTAATAAAGACAACAAAAAGGCACCAAAAACCTGTCACATGACGCAACAGAAGCGTTTTTGTCCACAAATTAATATTTAATTCCCTCCCATCTCCAGCACATTCCATTCAGTGTCACTTTTGTAACTAATCGCTATGTACATTCTTGTGTCTTTATTATGCGTCCCTCATTTACGATACTTTCAACTGCGGTTTATGGCATGTGGGGAGGCATTTTCTAAGGAAAAAGAGAAAGTTTTTTGGTTTACCTTAAATTATGACATTAAAAATATAAATCTCATGGGAATGTGAGGAAGGAAAAGAAATGAAAATTATGGACCGATGGAGATGAATAATGGCTGTGTCGTGAGGATTTTCGTGTGCGTGGAATATGATTTTGGAATGAGAAGCATGACTTGTGGTTGGAAAAAGGTGATTTTAATGTGAGTTTAATTTTTTTAGAGTTTTGCAAGAGATTTAGTAGCTAGTATGAAGGCACCTGAACCAAGCAACTTTAGTATGAAGGTGCCTGAACCTTAAAACTCTAGTGTGAAGTTGACTTAATCTCCAAAACCCTAATGTGAAGGCACCTGAACCTAGCAATCATAGTGTGGAGGCATCTGAACCTCAAAACTCTAATGTGAAGTTGGCTTAATCCCGAAAACCCTAATGTGAAGGCACTTGAACCTAGCAACTCTAATGTGAAGGCACCTGAATCTAGGAACCTTAGTGTAAAAGCAGCTGAACCTAGTGACCCTAGTTTGAAGACGTCTGAACTTTACAACTTTAGTGTGAAGGCACCTGAATCTAGCAACTCTAGTGTAAAGGCACCTGATCCTAGCGAACCTAGAGTGAAGACGTCTAAAATTTGCAACTTTAGTGTAAATGCACCTGAATCTAGGAACCCTAGTGTAAAAGCACCTGAACCTAGCGACCGTAGTGTGAAGACGTCTGAACTTTGCAACTCTAATGTGAAGGCACCTGAATCTAGGAACCTTAGTGTAAAGGCAGCTGAACCCAGCGAACCTAGTGTGAAGACGTCTGAACTTTGCAACCCTAGTGTGAAGGCACCTGAATCTAGGAACCCTAGTGTAGAGGCACTTGAACCTAGAGACTCTAATGTGAAGACGTCTGAACTTTGCAACCCTAATGAGAAGCCAATTAAACTTAGCGACCCTAGTATGAAGGCATCTGAAAATCAATAACTCTACTGTGAAGGAACCATCAATTTTAATTCAATCTCACACAACAGCCTCATTAGACCAAACCTTATTGCGAAACCTGCCCCACTTTCCCTTTGATTACAACATTTGACTTCTTTTCCTTTAAAGTGAATTGATTTTAATTAATTAATTTTGTTTACGATAAAATTCTCAGATAGCTATCGCTTCCGACTGATAAAATTAAATCATTTTTTTCTTTATCGTCGTGATTGTTGATAAAGATTTTGCCATTCAGTCTTTTGTTTGACGTGAGACAGTCATAAATTCTATTTGTAAGCAAAACGATGAAGTGGATTGTAATTTTTGCAATTTTAATTGCTGTAGCTTATGGGATTCCCAGGACAGCTCCAGACTTTAGTGATCGTATTCAGCAGAACTTGAGGTCAAAGTTTAGAGGCAGAATTGTTGGTGGAACTCCAGGTTTTGATGAAAAATTATTAAAAAATACTGAAAATAATCAAAAACAATTTCTTATCAGCTGATATTTCCAGTTTTCCACACATGCTTGCTCTGTATGACCTCTCGTCCACTGGATTCATTTGCGGTGCATCGATTATTGCTGAAAGATGGGCTCTTAGTGCTGGTATGGATGTCTATAACTTTGATTGTCACTATTTCTCAAATAATCTTTATAAATCTTTTCCAGCTCACTGCCTTTACTTTAGAGTAGATCCATCGTTAATCAACCTTCGTGGCGGTTCCACTTATCATGCATCAGGTGGAATCATATTCTATACAGAATCTTATACACTTCATCCTCAGTATAAGCATTCATTGAAGGAATTTGATATCGCAATTATTCACACTAGGGAGAGCTCACTAATGAGAGGAACAAACATTCAAGCTATTCCATTGCCAGGCATCTGTCAAACTGACTGTTGTCTAACATGTCCACCAGATCAGGTCACAACTACTGGATGGGGTGTAAGTGACTCATCTAATATGATTAAACTACTTGTAATATTTTCGAATTTACTTCCAGAAAAATGCAGTCGGTTCATTTCCACAAAATCTATTCCAAATCACACTTCCAATTGTCGATCGTCAAAGCTGCAGTGCTAGTTGGAATGGAATTGGTCAAATGTTCTTTTGCGTTCAAAACTTAGTCGGCAAGGACTCATGTTCTGGTGATAGTGGCTCACCAATTGTTAAGAAGATTGGAACTCAAATGGTGCAGATTGGAATTGTAAGCTTTGGAACTACGGTGAGTATTAGATTGAGGAAAGAGTAGGAGTATTGGGGACAGAGTTGCAAAATAGTCTAAGCAAATGGAATCTAAATCCAAGTCAGCCTCATTTTGAGGTCTAGTGGGTGATGTTGTTCCATTTGATCCGTTATAACAGTGCTGTCCAACCTGCGACACATGGGAAATCTCACGAACAGGCGCGTAGCCAGGTGGTGGATTTGGGGGACAAATCCCCCTTCGTCTTGAGAAATTTCTTCATTTTGCTAGAGTTTTTATGAAAAACTAGAAAAAATCCCCCCCCCCCCCCTCTCCTAAAATTTTTCCATACAAAAAAAAATTTTGTCCCCGCTTCTTTAAATTCCTGGCTACGCCCTTGCCCACGTGTTTAATTGTAGCCATGGCTTACCATCAAATGTAAGTCGCCACCACTGCTTTATTACACCATTAAAGTCTGCAATTTTTTAAACTCCTGAGACAAGGTTGTGCAGCACTGACCTTCTTCTTTATCCACTAATTAATATTAATTCAATTTATCTGAATTTGATCAACTTGTCCTTCTTTTCCAGGTTTGTGGTGATGGAACCAAGCCAAGTGTAGCTACTCGAGTTGAATTGCCTGAAATTCGCAACTGGATCACAACAATGTCGGGAATTTAAACAGAATGTGATAAAATTAATTGCAAACTTAATGAAATTTCCTCAAAAAAACTCATAAATTATCCCGAAAAAAATTAATAAAAATCCTCCTTAATGTAAAAATTCCATCAAAAGATGAGCACAAGAAGTCATAAAAATCAGTAATTCACATTCATTACAAACATAATTACAGCAGTTAGCAACGCTAGGAAGTGCTATATCTTTATTCAATGGATAATTATAAATCAAAATTAAAATTAATCCCCAGGATGAAAAAAAAGTCATCGCAGCATCCCCTATTACACAATAGACATCCTCATCCACAGTATATCCATAAAGATATCAATATCACTCGCAGTAATGAGTATATCCTAATGTTCATTCTATACCTCCCCTCATGACGGTGAGCAGTCATAAAGTATGACTTATTACACCTTCTTGTTTTAATCTTCCCCCCGTACCATGGACCGGCTGACTGACTGCTCCGCTTTTTGTTCTCCTTACATTATTAATTTTCTTTTTTGCTGCTTCTTCATTTTCTTACCTTGCGATATGTGCCATTAAATTTCTTTTTTCTTAGGTGAAGTTGGGTTGGGAACGTGAAATGTGGTAAAATTTTCTAAGTTATTGTTAATTTTTGGATAAGTTCAGTTTTTAGGATACGTTCAGTTTTGAGAATAAGTTCAGTGTTGAGGAAAGGTTTAGTTTCTAGGATAAGTTCCTAAAGTCCAAAGCACCATTTCTGTTGGTGTGAATAAGTTCAGTTTCGAAGAATGAGTTCTTGTGATATGGATAAGTTCAGTTCCAAAGAATGAGTTTAGTTTCCAAAGAATAAGTTTACTTTTAAACGAATACGTTTAGTTTCAGAAGAATAAGTTCAGTGTCAGAAGGATAAGTTCAGTTTCAGAAAAAAATATGTCAGTTTCAGAATGTTCATTTTCGTTGGAACAAGTTCAGTTTCAGAAGAATAAGTTCAGTTTATTAGGAATAAGTTCAGTTTCAGAAAAATAAGTTCCGTTTCAGAAGAATAAGTACAGTTTAATAGGAATAAGTTCAGTTTCAGAAGAATAAGTTCAGTTTCAGAAGAATAAGTTCAGTTTCAGAAAAATAAGTACAGTTTCATAGGAATAAGTTCAGTTTCAGAAGTATAAGTTCAGTTTTACGGGAATAAGTTTGGTTTCAGAAGGATAAATTCAGTTTCAGAAGAATACGTTTAGTTTTATGAGAATAAGTTCAGTTTTAGAAGGATACGTTTAGTTTAAAAAATCAAAATTCACCTTATTCCTGCCGTAAAGGCCCCCAAAATTGACATTCCAACCCAATAACATAGTCTTATTCCTTTAATTTATGCCATCAGACTGTCGACTTCATGCCCATTAGTGTGTCTACGGCACACTCCAGCTAATTGTCATTCGAATCAAGAACAGATGCGATAATTATGTTTTATGTGCGCGCTCCCTTCTTACCTTCTTCATTCTTCCTTTTTTGCTCTCTTTTTCAACTTCCTTACCTACATTTCTCAACTTTTTATTTTTATTTTCATAAGCGTGGATAGATATAGTCGGATAGGATAGATGTGTGTTTAACATTAAGAAGAAGCGATTTCGTGATGATGGAAACAGATGTACAACGACATGAACGTGCCTTCCGTAAGACAATTGAGAAGTCGCATCAAGATATCTTCGAGAATTTTTTTTTTATTATTTTTATTTGAATTCGTAAGAAAAGACTTTTGTTCATAATGCGCGTAAAATTCGGATGAGAGGTTGTAAATAAAAGAAAAGGGGGAAGTGAGGATGAGGATGAAGATGAGGAAGATAGTAAAATGAGTGTATGGAAAGTAGGTTGAATTTGAAGAAATTGAGAGCGACAAAAAATTGTTTAAAATTCAAAACTGTTGATGAAAAATTGTTTTTATGCTTTGAGGAAATTTTTATGAACTAAAGTTATTCTATAACTGATTGTATAGTTTAGATACTGAACTTATCCTCTAGAAACTGAACGTATCCCGCAGAAACTGAACTTATCTTTTAAAACTGAACTTATCCTTTAAAACTGAACTTATCCTCCAAAAACTGAACTTGTCCTTTAAAACTGAACCTATTCCTTAGAAACTGAACTTATCCTTTAAAACTATACATATTCTTTAGAAACTGAACTTATCCTTCAGAAACTGAACTTATCCTTCAGAAACTGAACTTATCCTTCAGAAACTGAACTTATCCTTCAGAAACTGAACTTATCCTTCAGAAACTGAACCTATCCTTCAGAAACTGAACTTATCCTTTAAAACCGAACTTATCATTTAAAACTGAACTCATCCTTTAAAACTGAACTTATCCTTTAAAACTGAACTTATCCTTTAAAACTGAACCTATTCTTTAAAATCTGAACTTAACCTCCAGAAACTGAACTTATCCTTCAGAAACTGAACTTATACTTCAAAAGCTTAAATTATCTTTCAAAAACTGAACTTGTCTGTCAGAAACTGAACTTATCTTACTGCTCGTGAGAATTAAAAACCATCAGAAATTGACGTATCCTTTTCATACTGAACTTATCCGATCCATTTTCAAAAAATCATTCAATTCATCTCGAACATTCGCTCATTCAATTTAATTTTTCCCACTTTGCAATTTGTCTTGTTTCTACTCAACCAAGAAACCTTTTTTGTCGTCTCTAACTCTTTATTTCCTTAGAATCTCATATTTCTAAAGTGAATAAAATGATTTTTTTCTTTACATTTCAAGAGATTTCATCCCATCCTTCTAGCTCTATTCCTTTATCTCCCAGTCTCATATGTGACAATGTTATGACGTAAATCATCTAAATCCTCAAGTGTATGCAAATAAAAATCAATTTTCACTCAACTTCATGTTCGGGGCTTCTTTTATTCAGATTTTCTGATTTTTTATTTCATTTAAGCGAAAGAAAAAAAAATTGAGAAAAATTTGAATTTTTAAAGGTTTGAAATTTCTGTGAGTCAGTTTTGATGTGACAAATTCAGTTTAAGAGGAATTCGTTCAGTTCCTTTGTAATAAGTTTAGTTTCTTAAGTATAAGTTCAGTTTCCTAAGGCTAAGTTCAGTCTCTGAATTACAAGTTCTGCTTCTGAAGGATAAGTTCAGTTTCTAAAAGTGAAGCTTTATTCCCGAAGCATACATTTAATAACTAGAGGATGGGTTCAGTTTCTTAAGGATAAGTTCAGTTTCTGAGAGATGAGTTCAGTTTTTAAAGATAAGGTTCCGTTTTTTAAGGATAAGTCCGGTTTCTTAAGGATAAGTTCAGTTTCTGGGAGATGAGTTCAGTATCTTAAAGGAAATTTCAGTTCCCCAAGGATAAATTTAGTTCCTGAAGAATAAGTTTAGTTTCTTAATTTTAAGGTCAGTTTCTTAAGGATAAGTCTAGTTTCTGAATTACAAGTTCTGCTTCTCAAGAATGATAAGTTTATTAAGGATAAGTTCAGTTAAAAAGGGATAAGTTCAGTTTATGAAATATAATTTCAAATTCTAAAGAACAAATTCGATATCTGAAGTAAATTTTCAGTTCATACATCATAAAAACATCGCTAAAAAGGTGCAATGAACTAAGCCTTCCAAGTATGTAATTTTTGCACCCCTTCTCGAAAATTTTTATGATTTCTCTCTCAACTTTCTCTCTTTGTTCCTTCATTTCTTATTTAAATAAAATAGAACCACATTTCTAGTTTCCCTTCAACAAAGTGCAAAAAAAAAGAATTTACACAAAAAAGTAAAAAAAAATTGCAAAAAAAATTCTCATCAACAATCGTATGTGACACAACAGCACCAAAAAAAAAGGGGTGAAAAAATGTCGCAATTCTCATTTGTGTGCGTTTGACTTTCACTGCTTCTGCTCATTCATTGCTGACTGTGTGTTCGAGAGAATATTTTTTTTCTATCCATTTTATGATAATGACAGTCGTTATAATAATAATGACGGTTGTTTGTGTCGCTGTATGTAGATTTTTTTTTATCTCTCTCGACGACGGCACACACCGAGTATGATGATGATGGTAACAACAATGTAATGAACATACATGCTCGCTATATATGAGACACACACTCGCACTGAATTGTATCTGATACAAGAGATAGATGAGAATGAGTCTTGATATCAAGCACATATATTACTTTTTTTCTTTTTCGTCAGCATACATGGCAATGACAATGATGAGGAAAATTCTCGCATCGCGTATGACAAAGAATGTAAAATGGATGGAAATTTTTGTTGATAGCTGGATTTTTGGAGGTGTTGGGATTGACATTTTGGGGGTGTTTGCCTGAAAAACATGGAAAATCTAGCAAAATGCAAAAAAAAGCTATAATCTCAGCAAAAATAATGTTAAATTCAATCAAATCAAGAATAATTTGAGCTAAATTAAGGATGCGTTCAAGTAAAATAAGGATAAGTTCAGTCATTTCAAGGATAAGTTTTATAAAATCTGGAAAAGTTCAGTTCAATTTAAGGGACAAATTCAGGCCATCAAGGGATGCTTAAAGTTCAAAGAAAATGATAAGTTTAGCTCATCCAGAGATACGTTTAGTTCATTGAGGAACAAGTTCAGTCATGGGACATGTTCAGCTCATAGAGAGACAAGTTCAGTTCATCGAAAGACAAGTTCAGTTCATCATATGAATAGTATAGTTCATTAATGGATAGGTTCAGCTCATTAAGGGATAAAAATTGGTTCATCAAGCAACGTGTTCGATTCATCAAGGGACAAGTTTAGTTCATAAGGGATGCTTAAAGTTCAAGTAAGATGATAAGTTAAACTCATCAAGAGATTCGTTTAGTTAATCGAGGGACAAGTTCAGTAATGGGATATGTTCAGCTCATAGAGAGACACGTTTAGTTCATCGAAAGGCAAGTTCAGTTCATCACGTGAATAGTATAGTTCAATGATGATTAGGTTCTGCTCATTAAGGGATAAAAATTAGTTTATCAAACGACATGTTCAGTTCATCAAGGGACGTGTTCGATTCATCAAGGGACAAGTTCAGTTCATTAATGGAAAAGTATAGTTCATCAAAAGATTAGTTCAGCTCAACAAATCATAAGTTCAGCTAATAAAAGGATACGTTCAGTCCATCAAAGGATAAGTTCAGTTCTCAAAAATTCTCAAAACC